CTTTTGAAGTTGAAAATGTTGTGCCCACAAAAATTTTGACCAAAAAAACGTCGGAATCACATATTACCAAAACTTCATGAACTGTGCACAAGAAAAATAGAAAAAGCAGTAATTCTCATTCTAGGCCTCGTTTCAAATTGAAATTTTCTATGTTTTTCCCCTAACCAACATAAGCAATTAAATAGGTTGTGAGAGACACCCTCAAAAAAATTGGCCAAAAACTATCAAAATCACATATCAACCAAATTCATGGACTATAGCACACGAAAAATAGAAAATTGATATGTTCCGTTATGGGCCTCATTTGATCTTGAAATATCGATGTTTTTCCCCCAGACAAATGCACACCATTAATAAGGTTGTCTTGAACGCCGGCAAAGAAATCGGCCAAGAAATCGTCAGGGTCACATATAACCCAAAGTTCATGGACTAAAACACGAAAAAAATCGATATTTTCTGCTCTAGGCATCATTTGAACTTCAAAATGTGGAAGTTTACCCATTCGGACCTACACACACCATTTTATAGTTCATCACAGATGCGCACAAAAGAATTCATCCAAAAAAATAACAGATCATATATCACAGAAATTCATGAATTATATCACACGAAAAATAGAAAAAATAGTTTTCGTGTTCCAGGCCTCATTTACCTTGAAAATTTTAATGTTTGACACTCCTGACCAAAGTAAAATTTACCTGCTCTTGAACTTGTTTGACCTTCAAGATGGGTCTTTTGGGCCGTTAGGCCAACTGGCTCCGTAGCTAACGTCTTAATGGACGTCCACAAAAAATTTGAGAAAAAAAGACTTCAGAATTCTAGATCACCAAAAAAGATTGTGGATTATAGCACATGAAATATAACAAAATGAGATATTTACCTTTTTGAGGCTCGTTTGTCCTTCAAAATGGGTCGTTTCGGGTATCAGGGTCAACCGGCTCCATAGATAACGTATTAATGGACGTTGATGAATAATTTGAGAAAAAACACGTCGAAATTCTGGATCACCAAAAATCCATGAACTGTACATGAAAATTGTCAAAATGGGGTTTACTTGCTTTGGGACTCGTTGACCTTGAAAATGGGTTTTTTGACAGTCACGGACAACTGAATCCATAGTTAACGTCTTAATAGACTACAATGAAAAATTTGGGCAAAAAAGTCATCAAAATTCTAGATCACTAAATTCATGGACTGTAACACATGAAAATTGGCAAAATGGGGGGCTTACCTGCTTCGGGGCTTGTTTAACTTTCAAAATGGGTCATTTCCGCTGTCAAAGCCAATGGGCTCCATAGCTAATGTCTTAACACACGTACAAAAAAAATTGGGAAAAAAAGACGTCAAAATTTTGGATCACTAAAAAAGATCGTGGACTAACACTTGAAAATTGACAAAATTAGGGGTTTACCTGCTCTACGCTCATTTGACCTTCAAATTAGATTGTTTTGGTCGTTAGGGACTCGTTTCACTTTCATAATGGATCGTTTTGTCCCTCAAGGACAACTGGCTCCATAGATAACGTCTTAGCGAACGTCTAGTAAAAAAAGAACAAAAAAGACATTGGAATTCTAGATAACTAAAAATGTTTGTGAACTATAGCAAATAAAAATTGACAAAATGAGATGTTTACTTGCTCCGAACTCATTTGACCTTCAAAATGGGTCGTCTTGGTCGTCAGGGACAACTAGGTTAATAGATAAAGTCTTAACGGACGTTCACAAAATAATTCAGTAAAAAAAAGACATCGAAATTCTAGATCACAAAAAATTCATGGACTATATTATACAAAAATCGACAAAATAGGTTTACTTGCTTTGGGGCTTGTTTGACCTTGAAAATGGATTTTTTTGCCATCAAGGCCTATCGGATCTATCGATAACGTCTTAAGCGACGTCCACAAAAAATTTGAGCAAGGAAGATGTCAGAATTTTGGATCACCAAAAATTCATGGACTAGCACACAAAAATCGACAAAATGGAGATGGGGGTTTACCTACTTCGGAGCTCGTTTGACCTTCACAATGGGTTAGTTTGGTTGTTAAGGCCAACTGGTTCCATAAGTAACGTCTTAACGGACATCCACGAAAAAACGGGCAAAAAAGACGTCAAAAATTTAGATCACCAAAAAAGATCGTGGACTATAGCACATGAAAAAAAAATGGTAAAACAAAGGATTTATCTGCTCTGGGACTCGTTTTACCAACAAAGTTGTTTTGGCTTTCAAGATCAACTGACTCCATAGATAAAGTCTTAATAGATGTCCACAAAGAATTTAAACAAAAAATACGTCAGAATTCTGAATCACCAAAAATCTATGGATTGTATTACATGAAAGCAACAAAATGAAGTTTACATGCTTTGAGTCTTGTTTGACCTTGAAAATGGAGAGGGTTTACCTGCTCCAAGGCTCGTTCGACCTTCAACGTATGTTCACAAAAAATTTAGAAAAAAAAGACGTCGGAATTTTGGATCACAATGGATCACCTGTTCTGGGGCTTATTTGATCTTCAAAATGGATCATTTTGGTTGTCAAGGCAACCTGGATCCATAGATAACATCTTAGCGAATGTCCATCAAAAATTTGGGCGAAAAAGACGTCGGAATTTTGGATCACAAAAAATCGATGGATACTATAAAACACGAAAATCAACAAAATGGATTCTACCTACTTCAAGGATCGTTTGACCTTGAAAATGGACCGTTTTGGCTGTCAAGGTCAATTGACTCCATAAATAACGTCTTAACGGATGTCCACAAAAAAATTAGACAAAAAAGACGTTGAAATTCCTGATCACCAAAAATTTATGGACTATAGCACATGAAAATCGGCAAAATATGGGGTTTATATGCTCTGCTCGTTTGACTTTCAAAATAGGTCATTTTAGTCGTCATGTCCAACTATATCCATAGATAACGTCATAATGGACGTTCACAAAAAAGGTAGAGAAAGCATACGTCGAAATTAAAAAATGTGTATTATAGCACACTAAAATTGGCAAAATTAAGGGGTTTACCTGCTTTGGGGCTCGTTTGAGCTTCAAAATGGATCGTTTTGGACGTTAGAGCCAACTGACTCCATATTTAACTTCTTAAAGAATGTCCACAAAAATTTTGGGCAAAATAGACATCGAAATTATGGATCACAAAAAATCCATAAACTAGATAGCACACGAAAATTGACAAAATGGAGTGTTTACCAGCCCAGGGCTCGTTTGACCATTAAAATGGATCGTTTTGGCTGTCAGGTCCAACTGGCTCAATAGTTAACGTCATAACATACATCCACAACGAATTTGGAGAAAAAAGGACGTAGGAATTCTGGATCACCAAAAAAAGATCGTGGACTGTAGCACATGAAAATTGGTTAAATAAGGGGTTTACCTACTTCGAAACTCGTTTTACCTTCAAAATGGGTCATCTTGGCCATCAGGGCCAATTCACTCCATAACTAAGGACGTCCACGAAAATATTTGGACAAAAAAGATGTCACAATTCTTGATCACCAAAAATTCATGGACTATAGCACAAGAAAATTGGCAAAATACTGGTTTTACCTACTCTGGACTTGTTTGACCTTCAAATTAGACCGTTTTGGTTGTCTTAGAACGTCTACGGAAAATTTGGCAAACAAACATTGGAATTTCGTATCACCGAAACAGATCATGGATATAACACATGAAAAATGACAAAATAAGGGGCTTACCTTCTCCGGGGATCACTTGACCTTCAAAATGGATCGTTTTGACCGTGAGGGACAACTAATCTATAGTAAACATCTTAAAGGATGTCCACAAAAAAATTGGGCAAAAAAGACATCGAAATTCTGGATCACAAAAAAAACAGGACTATAGTACATGAAAATTAGCTAAATGGGATTTACCTACTTTGGGGCTCATTTGACCTTGAAAATGGATAGTTTTGTCTGTTAGGGTCAATTGGCTTCATAGTTAACATCTTAACAGACGTCCACAAAAATTTTTGACAAAGGACGTCGGAATTCTGGATCACCAAAAATTCATAGATTATAGCATACGAAAATCAAAAAATGGAGAGTGTACTTGCTTTGGGCTCATTTGACCTCCAAAATGAGTCATTTTGGCTGTCAGGACCAACTGGCTTCATAGTTAACGTCTTAAGGGACGTCCATAAAATATTGGACAATTGTTCACCAAAACACATCATTGACTATATCACCCAAAATCCAACGTTTGTCCTTCCAGACCAACACACGTCATTAATAAAATCATCATGGACGCCCACAAAAAATTTGACCAAATAATCATTGTAATCACATATCACCCAAAATCCATGAATTATTGGACATGAAAAATGAAAAATGGGTACTTGGACAATTTCAATAAAAATAAGACCAGTCTCCTTGTTTTTTATAAAAATATTATGAATAATGTGCACAATATACTTTTGAAATCTCACTCGTGTGGTGCTGTAATAATTTAGTCCATGTCAACTTTTCTATGATATGCAGAAGTCTCCTTGAAAGAGAATAATATGATAATGTGAATAATTAATTATTGGCTTATTCCATGCTTCAGTTTTTATTTGTTCATTTATTATCGTCATTGTTAACTTGTCTTTTTTTTTTTAATTACAATCATTAAATAGTAACCTGATAAAAACAGCAACAACCTTGCTATAATTGATTATATTTCATCAGTAAGCAAAACAAATGTATATTATATAACTTGGGTACCTTATTTAAAAAAATTATTTATATTTAGTCAATGTATGTACGCTTGTTTAATTTGCAATAATATTCCGTTCTTACTAACATAATTTCTTAATTTATTCTTACATTAGAGAAGTTTTGAAAACAGAATAATTTTTGGAATCTTAGAAAGATGGCTGTTGAGAATTAAGTCAGAGACATTTTCTTTGCTTACAAAAAATACTTTATAATACTTTGTTTTCAAAAATGAAAAATACATACCCCATATGAAAATTAAGTGTGACTTTGTGTTTCTATGTATAATAATTAAAAAAAATACTCATCTATTGTTAAAAAGTGTGTGTGTATATATAATACTGATGAATAGCAAATTATTACGTACATGAAGAAATTGTTATAATGGAGGGAGAATTAGAGAGTACTAAAATGCCATTGTTGGAGGGATGGAAGCTTACAGGAAGTGGACTCCGGCATGATTTTTTGTTAAGGCTTCCAGATAAGGTGATCAAGTCTTGTGTTATTGATTCAGAAGCTTCATCCATCATTAATTATAATATCTCTGGATTAACCAAAGGTAATTTATCATTTATTGTCATTGTGTGTTGGGGGATTATATTGTTAGTTAAGTATATTCCAGAATTTGCTATTTTTAATTAATTAAATTGGTGTATAGACTAAGTACTACTGTTTGATGTTAAATTAGGACTCATATCTGCTATCATATCCTCTTTTGACTATTTTTTTTAGGAGAAAAGGAATACTATGAAAGACAGTTTGAGACATTGAAGTCATTCGAGGAAGTTGATATTGCAGTCACGTCTGATGAAATTGATGAAGATGATCTTGAAGAAGAAGCTCAACATGAGAGAGCAATGACAGTATCCAATGGTGCAAATATTATACTTCTGGCTCTTAAGGTGTGACCAGAAATTACTTGTATGAGAAATTAAACTAGTATCTATTTTTTGTCCTGCAACATTTTTATGCAATTGTAAATGTGACACAAAGCAGATCTATGCCACAGTGAAGAGTGGCTCCTTAGCTATCGCTGCATCTACGTTGGATTCATTGCTTGACCTCATGGCTGGTGGCATACTATGGTTCACTCATCTGTCGATGAAAAATATTAATGTCTATAAATATCCTATAGGAAAATTGAGAGTGCAGCCTGTTGGAATTATTGTGTTTGCTGCTATTATGGCTACACTTGGTATGTATGTTAATTCTTGATCCTAATTCCTAAGGAAAAAGCCAAACAAGACTAGAAAGTTGTATATAAGGGAATTAGCACCAGTCATGTGAGTTGTTATATAATCGTGTGCTTTCCTTTTTAGGCTTTCAGGTGTTGATCCAGGCTGTGGAACAACTAGTTGAAAATAAGCCTCCTGAAAAGATGGCTTTGAATCAGCTTGCATGGTTATATTCAGTAATGTTAACTGCCACAGTGGTAAAACTTGCCCTGTGGCTTTACTGCAGAAGCTCAGGAAACGACATTGTTCGTGCATATGCAAAGGTGTGTGTGTCTCATGTGTGACGTATCTTTTTACCTGGTGACTTGTCGTGATGATTGATTTACCTAAATTGTCAGGATCACTATTTCGACGTGGTTACTAATGTAGTGGGATTGATAGCAGCTGTACTTGGTGATAAGTTGTACTGGTGGATTGATCCTGTTGGTGCTCTCATCCTTGCTATTTACACAATCACAAATTGGTCAGGCGCTGTGATAGAGAATGCAGGTCTGTTCCTAATGAAAATGTGTGCTTGTTCAATTCGTACTAGTTTTCCCACTTACCCTTTTGAGTGAAAAAAACTCTGATATATATAGAGATATACATATATGAATACATCAAAATGAAGTTGTTGATGCAGTGTCACTAGTGGGACAGTCAGCCCCTCCTGAAGTTCTGCAGAAGTTAACGTATCTTGTTATGAGACACCCTCAAGTGAAGCGTGTTGATACAGTTCGAGCATACACCTTTGGTGTTTTGTACTTTGTTGAGGTCAGTCAGTCTCCAGTAGCATGATATGTAGAGTATGAACCAACTCGACTGACTTTGCAATGTGGCTTAATTCCTCATAGGTTGATATTGAACTCCCAGAAGATTTGCCATTGAAAGAAGCACATGTTATCGGAGAGGGTCTACAAATAAAGCTGGAGAAACTTCCTCAAGTTGAACGTGCATTTGTTCATATTGATTTTGAATGTGAACACAAGCCAGAGCACTCTGTCCCCAGCAGGATTCCTAACAGTGAACCTTAAAGTGTGTTTTCCATCATACCAGAGAGATTACTTTTATTGGGACCTCAACAAATACTTGTTGAATAATTTTGTGTATCAAACATTTCTCCTACAAGGGGAGCCAACGGTAGTTTGAGCAATGAAATCTATCATCATTTTGATTTTATTTTATACACCCGCTCCCCTTTTCTTTCTCACCCATTTCTCCAGCCTTCACACCATACGACACAGTAATGATTGAACATCTTAAATATCTTTTCTAGCTGTAAAATTTCTCACTTTCATTGTGGGATCAAACTGACCGTCTGTTTTGGGTTATGAATAAAGCCACTACACCAAGCTCTCGTTTCTCCATCCATTTCCTAAAAATAATGGAGAAAAAACTAACACCGAACACAACAGATATAAAAGATTCATAGATTTGTAATTTTGTGCTGTTAATTGTATGTACACAAGAGACGAGAAAGTTTGCCACTATCCAAACAAGCTAAAAGAAGCAAGTGCCACCATAATTAAGATTTCCTCACTTTTTACAATTGACTGACAATGAGAAAATAAAAGGGGTGAAGGAAAAATGTCCAACATCAGATTTTCCATCCTCTCAAGATACAGTTCGTCCATAGCAGAGACAGGAAAGATAGAGATTTTTTGCCCATTTTTCCTGGCACAAAAAAAAAGGTGCATTACTTACTCTCATCTAAATAACCAACATGTAATAACTCTTTAAACTGGAGGTTTCCCCACATGGATTGGAGACTCCAAATATTATTCATAATACAACCACGAAAAAATAAGCTTATGAAAGATATTAAATACAAGATAAAGAATTTCCTCTCACTATATGTACCTAAGCTCTACTAGACATATTCAAGCTAAATCAGATGAAGACACCATTCCACATCACAAGTTGCCTATATTACCTTAACATGTGTGCTTGGAAACTGAGATGTTCTCAATGTCTCCTGAGTCTCATCGCCAGGCCTTCGTCGAGGCACACTCAGGATAAGAGCAGCTTGATCTAATGTAGCAGCTGTTGCTGTAATACGATAACCATTGTCCCATCGTTTATGAATGCCTTCACTTGGATAAAGAAAATCAAGCTCCACTACCTATCAGGAAAAAAAGCAACTTTATCTTAAGATAGTATGAGTGCATGATAAAACCAAGGTAGGAGGAGAGACAGATGAAACCAAGCTAGAAGGAACATCATAGAGACACATGCGCTTCTGATAAAAACGGGAGGGACAAAATGTTAGCACCTACTAAAAAGAGCAAAAATAACACGATGATGAGTTTTGTTTAGGACTTCTTTTCTGTTTCTCTCAACAACTCAATAAGTAGAGTTACTAAAGGCGATAATCATGAAATTAAATGATGAAAGGTACTAATTGTTTCTTATGGTTTACTAATTGAAAATTGATTATCAATTTTGCCATTAAAATCATCTTTCTCTGGCCCTCTTCTCAAGATACTTCCAGTGATAACTCAACTTGAGTTGCTACATATGCCTATACTATATGGATACAAAGCTAGAAATTTTAATTCCTTAAATAAAAAAGAAGAGGTAATTGTAGTTCCAGCTGGATGTCATAAGTACCGACATGTTTTGCAACTTCTGTATATGGATAAATTAGGCACTTCATTTCAGAGAAACCCTTTATGACTCGCTTTATGCTTAAAGCCCTGTAGGCCCCATCACTCATTTGTTGTTTTAACTCAACCATTGAGTAACAATTACTCCTTTACTTCCTTGTACCAAATATAAGTTCCATGACATTACTATTTAGCTCTAGCAAATTTCCATAATAGATCTCTTATAATTCAACAATCTTCCAACAACTGTCCAAATAAAAAAAAAATAAGATATGGACTCTTAGCCTAGGCTTATATTGTTACAATAAAGTATTAATGAAAATAAGACGTACTGGGCAGAAGAGATGATCACAAACATGCAGACAAAGAAAGAGGACCAACCTGGTTACTGACACCTGAATTACGAGACATAACAACCGCCCACCTACTTCCAGCAGTTGCCATGGAGGTTACATTGAACCCTTCTTTCCACTTCTTGCTTATCCACTTGAATGGGAATGACTCACTTACTTTATAAGACTGCTGACTGAACTGTGTGCCTGCAAATACAAAATAATAATTTTAACATTCTTTCTTAAAGGAAGTCCATTACCTGGAGACGAAAGGCATAAAGGTAAAGCCTTCAACAACAGGGTTCTCATTTTGCCACTGAGATGGGGGGAAGGCCTTCAAACCATTCAGGTTACAATGTTTACTCATTGTGTGTACTTGCACACGCTCAACTATGAAACTAGAGAACACACCTTTTGACATTACAACAAGAGAGCTTCCATTGGTAGCACCAGCAAGAGAACTAATATAATAGTTCTTCTCCCACTGTTCCATAACCCACTCCTGTAAATAATGCATTACAAGAACTAAGATAGTTAAAATATCAGGTTGAAGCGACAGTGAAGTGCATTAAGAACTATATTACATCATACATGTACTCGGATACAATATACACAGATTACAGTTGTGTGGAAGTATTTGGTAGGAGTGTGTGCCGCTTTTGGCAAAAATTTATTGTATTTTCATGAACATATGCAAGTACCATACACTGAGGTACATGGCAAATGAATGATTCCTTAGTATAGTGGAATGAATGGGACTTCACATTTACCTTGTGCAAGAATGATTGTGATAGCTCATAAACTTGGCTAGTGAAATTGGTTCCAGCATCCATGATAATAGCCCAGAAGTCGGAACAAGATGCCACACAACTTATGTATAATCCATCTTCAGTCCCTTTCTCCACATGCTCTGCTAGTCTTGTATCTGTTACATTATAATGGTACCTAAAGACAAGATACATTGCATTATGTAGTGTACTTGCCTACACAAACTCAGAAAGTACATTATCTATAATAACCACCACATAAAACAACAACAAACCCAGAATAATCCCACAAAGTAGGGTCTAGGGAAGGTAGAATGTACACAAACCTTACCACTACCTCAAAGGTAGAGAAAGTTGTTTCCGATAGACCCTTGGCTCAAGATAATTCCCATTTACCACCACATACTGAACAGAAAAGGACTCTCTACTGAAAGCAAGCAGCATAACCACAAGATATAACAACAACATACTCGGTGTAGAAGTTAGAATTGGGAGGGTGGTGTGTATGTAGCCTTCCCATACCTTGTGAAGGTAGAGAGGTTGTTTCCAATGAGCCCTCAGCTCAAGTAACAATTATTAAGAAGGAAATACAATAGTGGAGAAGTCATGCTGAAAACAACGGGGAAAAGTTATCCATGAAAATAATAGCATTGGAGAAGTCCTTACCACATGTCATCCTTGAAAATGTCTAACCATGTTGTTTTGGTCAGGTAAACAATTTCATTTCATAAATCAGAACCTACAAAAGAATATGTTTCTCCACAAAAGCCACCCAATCTTCTTTAGTCTATACATCCTGGGACACTCCTGATTACCAGTCACGAGATAAAGGACAAAGTGATGCACTCATTTTGAACAAAGATGCTGATGTGAATTTACCAAGTAAATATGCCTTTAAGGTAGCTACAATATTATCTAGTAACCATAACTAGCCTCTTATACACATATAGTGGCAGCCAGTTAATTTCTTAATTCTTTTTTATCAGGAATACAGTACATTTGTAATAATAGAATAAAGTGGCATGTCACCTAAATAGCCCAGTAAGTCATATAGTTTTCCCAATCATGATACTTTACACTTCTAGGGGAAATTGTTTTTAAAAGTAATGAAAAAACATTTACTGCTCAAGTTTATGTACCAAAGAAATCCAGCACAAGATCAATAAGCTTCTCCACGACAAAATTCATATAAAGACATTCCTAAAATAATTAAAAATTTCCCTAATCTTTTTCCAAAGGCCAAAACAAAAAATATTCTGGAGAGACAAGTTTATGCGAAGTGGCATATTATGATGAAACCGAGTGCTACTATACATAAAATTTCTAAAGCTGAAGGAAAGTCTTTTCTTTACTTTTCTTCTTTGGAATTGTTGAAAGCTGAAAGGAAGACATAACTACAAGTCAAGGAAAGATAAAATACGACTCTCTCAAAATATTACACTGAATCACTAGCAACAAAAAAGTACCCCAGAACACCAAAAGAATTATCTAGGTTTATAGAAGCTCTTGGAAATTCGCATTGCCAAAATGAAATTCGCAATGCCAAAATCGATAACCGTCTTCATACCGCACCACCCATGAAGTAGCCCTACCCCCAATTTGCAGAAAAGAGGAAATCAAAGAGAAAATTCCAAAGATGTACATTGAAGATGTTACCACTAAAGAAACAACAATAAGCAAAAGGTAAGAACATCTAATTGCACATCATGTGGAGTATTTGGCTAGAGGAAGAAGAGATAATTTGAAGAAAGAAAACAACATCGAACTAGACTTATATCCAATTGTATCCATAGTCTGTCTTCATGGTGCAAGGAGGGTAGGTAGGAAATGTGGAACATTTTTTTTGGACTCCGTTATGTCAAAAAGATGTAATGAGCTAGATTAATTTTCTCATTGTACTGTCTTGCAGTACCTTCTTGGTACTAGCTTAATGAAGTTACAATTATCTTGTAACAAAAGGACTAACAGAAAGAAAAATATAGAATCCACCGAATAATGTAATTTCAGCATGTAGATCACAATTTAATTGCTTTGCAAAGAGAAGATGTAATATGAAACGAAATTTCCACCTCTGTTTCATGGGCTTCCTAGCATTGTAAATCGAAATCCACTGTGATGCAGGAACTCCGATGCGAACCTTCTTTCTAGGCTGCTCTTCCCCCTCCTCTACATTTAATCTCCCCCGCTTTTGGCCAACTTGAAGAATCTGCAATAATAGCATGATGAGATTATATATAGCCAACACATGGAAGTCGAAGTAAATAAGCAAGTTGGTGAGACATGTAAAATACCACCTTTTGGGCACCATCAGTGTTGATTGGCCTTATAGCAGGATCAGGTCCAAGCAAGCTCCCAAATAAGGAGATTAACTTCGAATAATTAGGTTCTTCATCAAATTTCATGTTTATTACTATATCAAGAAATTCTCTCAGAGGTGATGGACAGAAACAGCAAAGCATTTCTGGAGATGTTGCCATCTTCTTTTTGCAGACCAAAAACGATTTGTTATCTCCCTAAGATGTTCAGAACAAAAAATTGTGAGAATAGGATGACATGGAAGTTGACAGGAACAACTTGACTGCACTGCAGTTCATAAAACTCGAGAAAAGCTAGTACAGATACCTGAAATCCTTGCCATGGCAACCTGCCTCTGTGAAGAAAAATGAGTGTATATGCAAGTGATTCCAGATCATCTCTTCTACTGGCAGTCCTTCCCAAGTGTGCATGAGCACTTGCATACCGAACAGTCCCTCTAGAAGCCATTCACAAAAGGTTGATAAGCAGAACAAGTGGCAATGATCAAAATTATGGTTAAGGATAACACTATATAGAACTGACCTAAACATG